CTTCTTGCCTTTTTTAAAAATGTAAGGAGTAGAAAAAACAGATAATTGTGTGAAAATGTAAAAGTAGAAGTAAAAATAGGCTGAAAAATAATTACTTAAGTACAGATGCTCAAAAATTCTACTTAAGTTCAGTAACAAAGTATCTGTACTTAGTTACTTTACAACTCTGGAATTCCCTGATTGTCCTGTGGTAGCCATGTGGAGCAAAGAATCGCCTTTCATACTTGGGAACTTGTAGTGGGATGAGTCCACCTCAGCATAGGGACAGCTGGGATGATTTCATTAGGCTGCTCTGTCTACTGTCCACACACTAGCAAGATGCTCAACTGACCTAAAATAAACAAAAAACAAACAAAAAAAACAAAACAGCAAAAGCAATGATTAGTAGAAATAACCACGAAAAAATTCCTCTTACACAAGTTCTGTTTTTTAATAGTTTTTTTTTCCACAAACAGAATTGTTTTACAAAAAGGAGCATTGAAATTACAAATGTACCTATCTATCGCAAATCATGCTGTCGACTTGAACTACATGCAAAATCAACAATAAAAACACTGAGGATCTTCAATGTAAAAAAATGTATTGATGCCATTGCAAAAAGGAAAATCATTTTGTGTTTTTTTTTTTTTTTTTTTTACTCCAGATGGAGTCACATGTTTATACAGGAGACGTAAACCAGGGCACAAGACTCTAAACCTCCCAGGCGGAGGGGACTTAGTAAAAATGCATAGAAGCAGAGACGTTTTCTGCTCTACAGACAGGGTGAATAGACAAATGGAAGCATTAAGACGAGTGTAAGTGCTCAAACCACGCGCACACTCACACACAAACACACACACAAAYACACAGCCTATTCAGTTTGAAGCCCTTACAACACAAACTCATGCTTCATTATAAATGTAGGAAACATCACAACRAAGAAAAGTACATGAAACGTTTTCATCAAACCTTATCTGAGGTATATGGCTTCATTTCATCTAACTACTTGTCAATAAACAACAAATAAAGTATGATACATTGGTTCAAGAAGACAAAAGGTTTTTCCAATCAAAAATATGAACAAACATTTTCCCAGTTTTTTGTAAGAAGCATAAATTAAGGTGCCACAAATACAGCAACACTTTCCTATCGGTTTTAGATCTTTAACGACAGGACGTGTCATGACAGGAAGAGGTTATAACATGCAGAAGTTAGCTTCTGCGTAGTTTCATGAAGATCTTTCTGATAAGCATGAGTTTCTGGATCAGCTGCACCCTTCTGAACGGGAAGTTTCTCATGGAGCACACATGCGTGTTTCACATGGCCACAAAGGCCTGGGCTGAATCCTGTCGGCCACGGAGGGAATTAAAAGACGCTCACAGGTAAAAATGTGTCCAACTCAGGTCACACAGCTCTCATTTTCAAAAAGGATACGGAAATCATACCGAAGCCTTTAATCTATATACAAACTGCTTAAAAGGATTATGGAAGTGTGTGCGCAATTTCACTCTAAGGTATAAAAAATACAAAAAAGTAAACTAAGTGTGGATGCAGTTTCTTTTAGATTTAGCAAGAGTCTAACTGTGTCCCTTTGGTTTTTCAATCGGTGTACTAAAATTATTACAAAACATGAGTGTTGCACGATTTCAGGTCCCTCATCTCAACAGGCGATGCTCAAATATCAAGACATCAAGCATTCCTTGTTGACGCTGGCGGCATCTGTTGGCGTCACATTGGCTGGTGTGAGTGTTGTACGTGTGCCGTTTCCTGGTCAGGCTCAGTCGGTGCTGACCTGCGTGACCTGTGCATCAGCGGTCTGGTTGGTGGATTGGATAAACATCGGTTGGGTCAGTTCCTGCCCTGCTGGCATCGTCACCTGTTGTATTTGATACAACTGCTGCAAAACAGAAACAGGAGGCGTTATGATATGTTGATTGGATTATCTTCAAATCAGCAGAGCATAGCTCCTGCTTATCTTGCTAGAAGATKATGTTAAACTTGTTTATAAATAAAATGTTTTTATACTTCCTGCATATTTTTTCCAAGCTGAGAGATGTGATACTCAAAGTTAGTGTTCTTTATTTTATTGGTTACCTGTCCGTCAGTAAACTGGTTGAACTGCTGCTGTCCTTGCTGCACCTCGGTCTGTGTGATCTGAAAACATTACAATCTATTACTAAAACATTATTAAGCACATTGTACGCCGTCTTCCTGATAACTTGCAGATTTGTTGCGTCCACAATCAGTGACTACCTGCTGAGTGTTTGCAAGAGTCTGAATTTGTCCCTGCACAACTTGTGCTCCGGAGACAGGCTGAGCTAGTCGGATGTATTGTAGCTGGCCTGTATTTAGCTGCACCTGCAGTGAACCGACACAAGGGGGAGACAGAGTTCAGTTAGAGCAAAGGTCATTCTTGCACAGAGGACACAGCCATTTTCCAACCACGGACGACACTCTCTTTCACTTCCTGTTTGTAAACAGCCTAAAAATGTTTCATTTATTCTACTAAACAAAACTTCAGTCCCTTTTTTTTTTTACTGTTCTTTCACTTGTTGTGAATCTTTTTCTGTCCTTGGTTTTGTTTCCTCTAACACCAGTCCTGTTCTTTCTAGTTTGACCCAACGTCTTACCGGGATCTGCTGTATCTCTCCCGTGTTGGTAATGATCTGCTGCATGACCTGCATGGTCTGGCCTTGAGCTTGCGCAGTTTGAGCTTGACCCTGGGCCGCTGCAGCCTGGACAATCTGAACTTGCTGGCCTTCACCCACCTGCATGGCGACGGGTGCACTCTTACAGAGAGGAAGGRTAAAATAATAAGAAAACAGAAAGAAAGAGGGAGAAAAAGACATCACGTTAGCATTAGTGCTGGCAAGATGTCTTTAAAGCTTCTGGACTAAAGGTTCAACCTCAATACAAAGCTTAGATATCTTTATATTAAACTTTTAACAGAAGATTATAAAGCAGGCACAAAAGACATGAYTTCATAGGTTTCATGTCCTCCATTTCTCTTCTGTCTGTCACATTATCTGGGAAAGGCCATCTGATCTCATTCAGCAGTCACCCCTAGAGACCTCTGTTATCTGAGCAGCACAGAGTTTGCAGGTGGCGGTCACCCACAGAGCTGCGGCACCAAGTCGTGGTCTTTAACTGTGCGGTTAAGCATAAAAAAGGCATGTGTGTTTACCGTGATGGGTGTGCCTTGTGATTGCACTTGCACTTGCTGTAACTGCTGCATGGTGGCACCTTGCAACATCTGATGGCCGACAGAATAGAATGAGAAAATGAGAGAAAGACACGCAGRGTGAGAGGGCAGCGATTGCAACAACTCAGCACACAAACGCAAGCATGATTGGCGTGTATGCATAGAAAGTTTTAAGCATCAGAAAACAATGGCATCRACAACAACTAATGTTTAAGGGACTGACAAATTTAAAATTAGAGGTATGCAGATTGCAACTTTCTCCAATTTAAATTTTTCTGGCTTTGCATCTTTTTATGAACAATAAACTGTATCAAACAATGTAATTTATTAATAAAAGTTCACACAGATTGCTATGTGTTAGCAATAAAAGAATGGGAATATTTTCTGCAAAGTGACAGCAGTTTCAGTTTTCTTTTATTCAAAACCCAAGGCTAAAGTTCTGTTTTCAGTTTTACATCTAAAGAGAAAAAAATTATATAATAGATATTTTAAAAACACTTCAAAAGAATGGAAGTGGAAAACCTGTACAAGACAATGTAAGGTTTTATATAACCTTTACTTTTAATATAAAGTAAGGTAAAATGTATTAAAAGTAAATGATGCAATAACACACACTGTGGTGAAACTTCACAGATGCCACTGAATTTCCAAAGTATGAAAACAATTAGGTAAAATAAAGATCTTTGGGGGGGTTTCATTAGACGCAAATTAGTTCACCTTATAATGTAGCTATGTAGTAATCAGTCAATAACGGGATATGCACAGGGTTTGTGTCAAATTGTGCTGTAGCAGGACTGTGAATCACAAAAGGCACAACAAAGTAGAACAGCTCAGCTCAAAGCAGCCTGCTGAAGCACCTTAGCAGCACAGCTAMGCAACATGCAGAAACCAAGCTGGAAAGGAGCAGAAAGGGTTGTAGAGAATGAATAATTAGAAGAGAGAGGCAGCTGAATGAGCTATGAATAATCTTGCTGTTTGGCGACAGCCTGCAGGAAAATAGGTGTGTTTGCATACGACTGCACAAGAATATGTACAGCTTCAGTTTTTGTGACTTAGTTTTTGTGTTGTTGAAATGTATACAACTTTAGAGTATAAAAAAATGAGGAAAAGTTTAAAAGAAACTCGTGTTCTTTTTTTATTGGGTTTAACTTACAAGGCAACAAATAATTCTCTTAATTTGACTGAAGAAACATGATCATATGTATATTGTTTGTGTATATTTTGCTACTGTAGTCAGTTTAAAACAAACTTAACTTACATTTTACATTTTCAGAAAATATGCAAATATTGCTAACTAAAAGGACACCAGGGTATTCACTTGCACTTCTGCTTTTATGCTGTTATAAGTAATGGAACAAGAGTGGCCAGTTATAAAATGGTAACTAAGATAAAGAATAACAAAGCTGAAAAGAATAACTAATAAAGAGGCTYTTGTAATAGAACACCTTGCACTGAGTTGAGATTAAATGTTCTGTTTAAAGTGCTCTTACAAGGACATGTTCAGGTTTTAAGACACAAAGTCCCTTTATTCACTTATTCAGGTTTCATTTTRTTCTTTGAAAGATCATCTGTGGTTTCATTTCTACTATTACTTCTTTACATTTTGCCATATGTTCTTGATTTGGTGACAAATTCATTCAAAGTACCTGTCCTTGCTGCGGCTGTGTGATGATGATCTGTCCAGGCTGGATGGTGGTGGCGGTCTGTGTGRCGGGCTGCTGACCCTGCTGTGTGCCTTGCACCTGTACGGCGCCAGGCTGTTGGGCCAAGGTGAAGTAGTACTGCACCGGCTCTGCAGGAGCAACTGACTGACGCATCTCCTCCTGCAGGTGAGACACACACACACACACACACACACACACACTGAAAGGCCTATCAGTCCACTACATCTCCATAAATTATTTTTTGGAAGTGTAATGGTAGAGGAGAGTGGGGTCAATAAATAACTGATGGGATGTGGCTGGGGAGGAGTAATGTAAGCTGGATGTGAGGTGAGGTGCAGGCACCACACAGACTAATAAACTGCTTGTCTGGAGGAATGCAAACCAGCCAGGTGAAATTTACTCTTAGTCATATTAATAACAAATTTAGGCACAACTAATATGGATTTATGTATAGGTTGAGTCCCCTCCTTTCTTTAGGTTAGCAAAAAAAAAGCATCAGACCAAGTTTTTATTCTGTTTACTCAGCGCCGCTCGACGGCTTGAATTCAGGAATGAAAATGATCAATTATTAATAAACACTGACCTGAGTGATCCTGTTTTATAAGTGACTAATGAGCAAAGCTTCATCTTGATGATGTTTCTCCATCGCCAGAAGAGTAAACACCCCTCTCCCAGCTCCATCACAACACAGCTGAGAGTGTAGGATGTTTACACGCCTGGAGACAGGCTTCCTGACAACAAATTTGAATATCTCATTCTTCCATCTGTTGCAATAAGTTGATGTACAGATCATTGATTTCCTGCTTTGATATTATAGGTTGTTTTCTCAACTAAATCCTGGTCGGAGACAGTTTTATGATGTTTGACGTTGCTTAGATCAGCTCATCGCTGGTGAAAACTAGTCCCATTTTGGGGGGTTTCTGGTTTGAGGCAATAAGAAGCTGCAAACATCCGACTGAAAGCCTTTTTGCCAAATCCCAGCTTCCAGTCAAGGATGTTTACAGCACCGTGTCGCCGACAAAGGAGGGGAAACTGAGGATGATCAAGAATCGGTCAATCTCATTTAATATTTGTTTAAATAAATGTCATCTGTTCATTCACCTGGAAAAAAAAAGCTGGAACGAAGAAAAATCTCATATTTTAACCTTTTTTTAATCATTTAATAAAGTTGACAAACTGCCAGAGTTTTTGTTGTTTTAATAAAAATAATCTGTTGCAGCTGTCTTCTACCATCTGTTATTATTGTTTAGAAAATGAAAAAGCAAATTCACATTAAAATAAAAATCCCAAATTAATTTTGAAAGTCTGTTGTTTTTTATTACTACTATGATGTATATAAGGTTATTTATAGGTTTATATTATAAAAAAATGAATAAAAGAAGACACTGTTGGGCATTATTAACTATAATTTATTAATTGCAAGAATCCATTTTCTAACAAGTTCAAAATGTCTTAAGAGAAAACATTTTTCTAATTGCTGTTATTTAAAGGTTTATATTTTGATAACTGCATACAAAAGGAGCAAACAACACCACACTGTTGAGCACAGTTAACTATAATATGAAATGAATAATAAATAAATAAATAAAGTAAATAAATATAATTTATTATTTGCAAGAATCCTTTTTCTAAAACCATTAAATTGTCTTCTGAGAAACCATCTGTTTTCCAGGCACTGTGCAGGCATTAAGGCTACAAAAAGATTGAAGCAACATCTACTTCCTACCTGTCGTTTAGGTGGCTTTAAGTCGTCCCGAGGCACGATGTCAATCAGGAAGTCAAACTGGTCAAACTTTGTTATCGCCATGGCAATGTCATTCCTCTGTAAATAAATAAATAAATAAAGACACATAGAAGGTCAGGGGATAATTGTGCTAATTCTATATATGCAGCTACCTATATATAAACATGCTTCAAAGTTTGAAGTCATCACTCCCAAAATAACTGCAGTCTACAGTTGGACTGAATTACAGTTTCCAGTAGTTGTGTGATTTCTCACCGCAGTTTAAAGAAGCGAGGACTTTCAGAGGCAAATTATCAAAAATAATTAACTGACAGAAAGTCAAACAGGATCAAAATGACTAATTTATTGTTAGGTATCCCTTACATCTTCAATAGGTGAGCACTGGTTTTGGTTTTCATTTGAAAAAGTATTTTATGTCTTATTGCTCTATGGGAAATGTGACTGGAGTTTTCTTCCAAACTCTGTGACTTATTGGTAAAGTGAAAGTTTAAATGAGGAAATTACAAGCTGAAAAATACCAATAATATATTTTTYATTATCTGCTTTAGATAACTTACTTATAATAAATGAAAGTACCACACAGTCTGACATTTATCAGAGATAAGTAAAGGGAGAAAACATGAACTGACATTTTCCTCCCACCATACTCTACTGCTCTTATACCCCCTCCTATGTCCACAGTGGTGTGCAGTCTCTGTGGAATTTTCCACAGGATATTGGCTGTCAGGACCCCCTTTTGTGGCCCTCCCTGTAATACAGGCTATTTATAGTACCTTGATTAATATCTGGTAACATCAGGTCACATCTACACTTGCTCTATTGATGAGCGTTGTTATGGTGACCCCATTGGCTTGGCCTCTTCACACAAGGGTTCTGCGTATGCGTGAGTAAATGGAGGACAATGCTGTTCCCTCACCTGAGCAATCGATTCATGAGGTGATGTGTTTCACCTGGATAATACTTTATCTTTTGTGTGAACTGTAATTAACATGGACACAGTTATTGTAAATGAGGTTTTCATTTAAAATAGCTTCAGTACATTTTAAAAACAAAGCAAGGATGAAATGTTTTTATATCTCATATGCCTCCATGAACTGCTGATTTTGCGTAAGTATGTGAACAGATGAAATGTAATCAGTGAAACTGGTTTACCAAGGTTTTATATTATTTAAATTGGCACTGTAATATGCTCTTTCCTCTTTTATTTTCGAGTATACATTTTTAAGTTTCTGTTAAAAGCGGAGAAAACAATAACGCCAGGAGGAAATGTGTCACCATCATTCGCCTGCTTTGCTTTTAAAAATGAAGTGGGAGAAAAAACCTCACATGAGAGATAGTCCTCAAGGGATAACTGCTATGGGGGTTGATATAATGTGGAAAAAAAAACCTTAAAGAGTCAGTTGGTTTATTTGACTGAAATGTAAAAATCTCATTAGACCAAACATATCACACAGGAAAGGAAGTAAAAGCATAAAAAGATTAAGTCACGCAGCGGTGATGCGCATCTGACCTGTAGTGTACGTCTCTTGTTGTCCTCAGTGTGAATCCATGCTCTGAGGGTGAGCTCTGTGATAAAGATCTGAGCAGCTTTGGCAAACAGGACTGGAGCTTCTGCGCTGATCATCTGCAGAGGATAGCGTCACACCCGATTAAACACGGCCCTGCACCGTAACGCAAATCACTCTGGGTCTGAGTTACAGTCAAATACATCAAAGTCACAGATGTGGGAAAAAACTACCTGACGAATGGTTTGATTTCAAGCTTAGCTTTTTATATTCTTTCYTGCATGTTCAAAACACTTGTGAAGAACTAAATAAAAAGTGACATTAGTCTAACAAATCTTTGAACATTTGTGCGCTAACATTTAAGTTGTCAGCTCTACCCGACAGAACCTATAATTGCAYGACATGTATTTCCCTTTATCAGCAAAACTAAACTCAACATAAAAGTTCAAATATTCATCACATGCAGTACTAGTCGTATACCACCTGCAGTRAAAGCTGCTGTGTCAGAACTAACAGAAGGGTCTTTCTCCCAGTTATGTTAGTGATCTCCTGATCTCTTTACTGCTTTAAGCTGCTGCTTAACTAAGWGGATAGGATGGCACTCCTGACACGACACATTCACAGCACGTTTCCCAAGGCTTCATGTTGGAGACTGAAACTGCTTTAATGGGAGGAAAGTAATCACATGACTGAACACAGCTGACAAATGTTAGGGGGTGAGTACATTTATTGGAAAAGATAGTGAGAACATGTCCACAAAAAGGGGAATAATCCATGTAGATCTGAGAGATCGGTAAAGGCATCAGGAGGAGCGGACTGCAAGAAATCTGTTCATTATTTTAAAAACCACTGAAGGAAGTTCTTTATTTAAAGCAGGATGTGCAGACATAGTTTATAAACTCACATTTATCAAATAAATTGGCTTAGCTCCTCTATGAGTACAGTGCAAACTAAAATTTAAGAAAACTATGCTACAGAGAAAATGTTGACACCCCTTTAGCTTGTAAAAAGACTGATCACTAGCATGCTAATCTCCGTGATCTTTATCAGAGCAAAGCTATGCTGGATATACAAAACTATTTAAAACCAAAATACACAGATTATAAAAAGCAGTTTAGTTGGAACAAAGACACCATTTCCTGCATCAGTGGTATGGTCGGGTTGAAGATGATGCACCTGTGAGTAGTCACAGAGTCAAATTGGCAAGTATGTGTGAAGTGAGGGGGTGGATCTTGCGACGCTACATTCTAAACGTTACTGCTGTCACTTTGCTGATTCTGCAACGGCGCCTTCGTGTGTGTGTGTTAGCACACACCAGTGTTTCCCCTACCATWATACAGGCAGGGTGCCCACCCCCCACCCCCACCCCGCCAACGAGACGGCCCGCCCCTCTAAGAATTTCACGGCATGTAGTCATTTTTATTTAAATAAGGCCAGATCAAGTCGAGAGCTATTTTTTTGCATCCCTCCATATCCACCTCTCACCAAACTTGGGGGAAAAAAACGGCGCAGAGTGAGGCTGAGCGCTGTGTGTGGTCCCCACAAAGATAGGAAGATGTGTGTGAGACTAGACGCGCAGCTCTGCTTTTAATCACGTAGCACCGATGCGACAGCTTTGCAAGCTACTTTTTCTTTCTTTAAAAGAAAATGTGACAGGTGAAGCTACAGCATGCTTACTACCTTATCAATAATTACTGCCTTTTTTACTTTCTCTGTGGGTGGGGGGTCAGCTTCACTCAGCTGCAGGTGAACACTTCCCGCGTTTCCTGGACTATTTTCCACCGAGGATTACGTCGTATTTTATATTGTTTATATTTCTAAAAGCACTTCGCAGCATTTCCCCTGTGTGTTCATGTCACGAGCGCAACAAAACCGCGACGGATCAGCTGACTGTTTTTAAAGCGAGGTGCAGCGAACATGTCCACCTGCAGCTCGGCTCCGACCAGCCCGGCCCGGGACTGAAGAGTTCACACGTCAACCCCTTCAGACGTTTAGCGTGTATAATGAGCATCAAAAATTTATAATTTGCACAAAAAAATCAGTATTAATCACGCTGATGGAGTGGAGGTGCGCTGACCGCAGCTGCGCGGGGTGGGGAGGAGGAGGAGGGTCTCTTAAAGACGTGTCTACATTTGACTTTTATTTTTTCTAAAATCACAGAGTTCTCTGAGTCAGCTTCAGATGTTTGTAGTTAATCATAATATCTTCTAAATTTAACCAGGTGTTTCAATGCCTTTAAATTACACAATAATTTTACTGGAGAAACTTGTCAGTTTGATTAAAAAAACAGTAAAAATATTTTTTTTCTGTGCAGAGAACTTCCTCTGCTATAATTTATTTTAAATAAATATATCAAAGCTCCTCAGTTGAAAACACTAAAATTATAGAAAAGATGTTTAAAAACTTCTTTCCTCAGAAAGTCTTCAGTCCTAAGAACACTAAACTGTAACTTTTAATTGGTACACAGTGTACTCCTATTTAAAAAAAAAATGTTTGTCCTGTAAGCAGAAAAATTATGGATGTTGGATGTTGGTTTTTTTTATCTCTATTTCAACGAAGAGGATGAGGAGAACGAGGAAGTTCTCCTCAAGCAGCTCCTAAAACTGTCAACCTGCTGACTGAGAACATTTGTATATATTACACTTTGTATACAGAACAATATAGCCTACTTATTAAATTATATTTTTATTGAGATATTTTTTTGGACAACCAAAATATTTTGAGGACAACCAGATTTTGTCAAACCCCCACATGAGAGGTCACCACCACAGTTTAAAAAAATCCTAGGGGAAACTCTGCAAAGTTACAGTTCTTCTAGATCTAATGATTCTTAGAAAGGACATGAGTTGAAGTTTTTACTGATAATATTTTATTCAAAACATGTTACAGAAGTCATAAGAAGCAGGTTTATTTTGAACAAACATTACAAACATGTTCATTCCTACAAAACTGTCAAATGTATTTACTAACAACACTAAAGAGGAAACTGTCAATGCAGTTATATAAAAAAACTACAGTAAAAGAGGGTTAAAGTCATTACTGGGTCAACCACACATTTATAGTGCGTGAGTACAAAAATCTACAAACTAGTTCTGCACAAAGGCAGTTTTATTCAATAAAAGTTCTAGCTGAAAATGCTAATATTTTTTACTCAGAATTGATTTGTTACCTTGACATCCTCATCCAACTTCATGATTTTCTTGATTCGAGCCAGAGGCAGTTCCTGCACACGGAAGTCCTTCTGAAAAAAAATCACTGGTAAGTATTAGATAACTGTAAAAAAAGAAATTTAAATTAAAAATGTACACACGTTTGAGTATTAGGAGCTGGGAGACCATATGATATGCTCGACTCTGGCAGGTGTGTGTGTTGCATGTTTAAGCGGTCTAACGTACCATAGTCAGGTTCCTGATCTCCTCCATGACACGAGGCCAGAAGGTCTGCAAGGTTTGCTGGGCATCGGTGGTTCCAGACCCAAATGCATCTCCAGACATCTTCTAATTTTCTGCACAAGAAGAACGCAAACGACGAGAGAGGTTTAGGCAAATAAATTACTGGAGAGCAAAAAAACAAAACAAACAAAAAACATCAAAAATGATKACATTTATGGCAGGCTCAAAAGAGAATATCGCTGCCAAGAGCTTCTCTTGAGTTTTAGAATACTGTATCCTGTCACAGTTTCTAAATAAAATGTGCTGAAATCTAAATACAGTTACAAAAAGCTTATATTCTTGTGCTTGAGATGTTGATGCAAGAACACACAGCCAGACCAGCTGTGCAATGCTTGATGCAGCTCTTAACTGCAGCTTCTCGACAAACACAAGCCTTTTATGTGCAATTAAATGCAGCAAATGACCTCAGCAGTGAGGATGATGCTAGACTACAAAAATAGGAAATGCAGAAGCRTCTGTGCCCTGCAGAAACAACTTTATCACAGCCTAACTGATTTTAAACAAACGCAGATTTACAGAACACAAAAATGTGAAAACAAACTGAAGTCTTTCAAACTTTCTTTTTATAAAGTCAGTGCTTAAAAAAAAGAGAGAGATTAGGTGATTTGAAAAGAAAACAAACAAACAAACAAAAAAAGAACCAGCAGGTTACTACGGCATGCCAGGAATCCAGTGGGGGAATATTGGCCTGCCTGTCTGAGCATGTAAAGCTTGGAGTGTCTTGATCTCTCTCTCTCTCACACACTCACTCACTCACTCGCACACACACACACACACACACCTTTGTAAAAACATTTGGCAGAGGAGAATAAAAAGTATATGGAGCAAGAGAGGAATGTTTAAAGTTACTCAAAAGACATGAGAAGTGGTTATCTGTGCTTTGTGAGCATCRGGTGGTGGTGCCTTGTCCAGTTTGGTATTAATCCACTGCTAAGACAACGAGCTGAAGGCTTTTACTGGGGGAGGTAAAGGGACAGGCAGGGGCATTAAAAGACTGCTGCACAAACTGGCTATGTGGGTCAAACAAGACAGAAAAAAGGGACACAATTAGAGAAAGACCGTTAGGTGGAAAAAAGAGGGGCTCCACTTTCCCTTTTCTTTATCTCACTAACAACTGGCTCCATTCCACAACCAGCTGAGAGACAATTMAAATAGAAAAGTCAGACTTTCAAACAGCTCATCCAGTGTCTCTTACCCACTAGATTTTGTTGCAGCTCTTGTGTGACAGCCTGCTTTGACCTCGAGTCTGCATCAGCTTCTTCCTGCACGCTGCCTAAGTGCAGTTGTGAATATTTCACATTGATAAATCACTGATTCATCCTTTACCTCATTGATTTTTGACAGGAAAGATTAGCTTCCCTGGCAGTAGTAGAAAGTTACTGAATAATACAGAAGAAGCACTGCTGCATCCTGCTCTGTCATTCAGTTTTCGACAGACAGCAGCCTAAATCGATAAGACAGAATGGCGGGAGGGGGTTATATAAATCAATCAGGCTGTTCGTAGCTATGGCATACCAGGCTAGTGATTGACCTTGACACTGTCTCCCCTTCCCTCTCTGAAGCTCCAGTGTCCAGTTGCATTTCAAGGTTGATTGAAAACCTGCAGTCTCCAGAACAATCCCAGCATGCCACGGGACACGGATGACTGACGGGAAATGTAGTTCTTTTGCGCCATCATCTCTACGACACAGGAACGGACTTGCAAAAGTTCTTCTGCAGCCTCAGCGTATTTGGCAACTCAAAGTCAAAGAGAGTCCCTTTTTTTTGGCTAAATGGCATTTTTATCATCAGCATCAGCACTTGATCTTGTGATAAYTGAGAACAAGACAACCTTGTGTATCTGTGTGAGCGCTGCACACAAACTGTCAGGATAAGGAACGAGCTACTCGCTTAACACTACAGACGACCATCGTACTGCTAACAATGATAACACTAAGGCTCAGACGACAGGCCTCAATGCTTCTTATTTTGTCACTCTGCTTAAACTCCTAGATTTCCTTAAAAAAAACAAAAGCAGAGATATTTACAGCAAACTCATACATAGCTTCTTCTTCTTTAACACTTTGACCTTTGGTGTAAATATACAGCGACACACTAACCACAGCGACTTAAAAGAGGGGGGGAGTCAATGTGTGAGGAGAGATGAGTGTGACGAGAGGCAGGCTGAAGCGTGAGAGCGAGAAAAAGAAAAACAACGAATGTGAGAGAAAAAAGGGAGGCTAAGTATCAACATGCCCTCGAGCATTGCTCTTTCAGTTTCTTTAGTTAGCATGATCTACCTACAGTATATTAATTACCATATATTCAAATGCTTCGCATCAATGGAAACTTTGCGTTGGAGCTCAACGTTTCACACCCAAATGCACGACAGACAAAAACAGACTGGAGTTTAATGCTGGCAGCTACAGAAATCAAATACCAAATTTTTACTTGGTTTGCAGAAATAAGAGCAATTTCATCCGTGTTTCAGGCTTCTCGTGTCATAAGCATATATTATTTAAAAGAAAGCTTGCATTACAGGATTTAAAGTTAACCTAAAAACCTCATCTTTGCCGTTTAGGTCCACGCTGCTACTGTTTCATTTATTAGCCTACAGGAAGCTGGGCTTCTCCGCTCTACTCTTCCCTGCAGGGCTTTTGTCCTTCATCAGGACACAGGGACAGACAAATGACGGTGTTGGATTTCTCACAAACTCTGCTTGATGTCTGTGTTTTTTTCCTCCCAAAAACAAGCATTTGTGCAGTAACAGCTTCGTCCAACGCAGCAACTTGCGCTTCCTCCTTCCGTGATTTTAATCTCCCTCCTCCCGTCTCTTCTCCACCGCTTCCCATCTCGTGGCTAAGTGTTTCTCTTTTTCGCTGTCTTACTTGCTTACACCTGATCGCCCTTTCCCAACCTCTCACAGAAAGTCAATGCCACTCTGCTTACAGCAGCTGAATCAGCGCTAATGTTGTTCAGGCAGCCCAGTCCTGCAACTCTCCTGTTTCCGCTTYATCCTRATCTTCCTTCCCCTCTCGCTTTTCTGGAACGTCACATCAAGTGGCACTCAGTTCAGCTCTAACATCACAACACTGTACATGAGTCTTCAACTCCTGTCCAGTAAACCTGAGAGGACACTGGGTTAGGCAGACATTCAGGGCGAAGCTGTGCGCTTCTATTTATGTGTTTTTAAAGTGAAATATAAAAGAAACAGTAAATAACGATCAAACTTTTAAGGCACAAAATCTCCACAGACGGGGGTTTAAAAGCCAAAAGTTTAGATGCACATTAACAGACTTTAAACAATAGGAAACATCTCCGTTTTTTGATAAATACGCTGACACAAACATGTTTAAATTCCTTCATATGATGACTTTGAAGTGACCTCCTGCACGGTTTGTCTTCTCAGTAACTAACAGTTCAAACATTAGCAATCAAAGAGCAAACATATAGCGTACACATGAACGGAGTACTACCAATTTACTGTAAATTATTAAAAGACCAAAAAAAACAGTTTGTTTATAAAGTGACACCAACGTCTGGAAGATCATTGCTCAAGGGTCATGTCTTGAGCAAGAGGTCAAATGTGAACAAGTTGATGTGTGAAACTGTCACTGATGCAGAGTCTGTAAAGTTTTAACTAGCATTAATATTTATATTTTTTTCTTTTATTAATGGTCAACTGACTCCCCTCTCCAATTAATTTTAGATTTTTATTATTCCTGCTGAAAAAAAGTAAAAAAACAAAATAAATTAAAATAAAAACTACTGTACTTTTGAAGCAATACCTTAAACTGAACTACTAAACCTCTAACATCGGTGACCCTGATTATGGTACATACAACACACAGAAAACCTGGCCTGAGTACAGTACCAGGGTAAATGATCTACTTTTAGCAACAACAAAYTGGGGGGAAAAGTTCTCAGTCAGAAATTACAGATTAACCACTTGGTCATTTTTACAGATAGTACAATTTTGGAATTACAAATAATAATAATAAATAAATAAAGTGTGTAAGAGTATTGGGGGACCGGGTAGTGTTTTAATGATAAATGCACCCAACTAAGCTACTGTATGACATCACCCTTTTGGCCAGGCTGGATCGAACTAGTTGACCAAATGGCCCCACAAACTTTGCCCTTGGTTCCGCTTTAAGCAAACTCCAGGAAGTGCTAGTCACTGATCTCCCAAGGTCATTCAACAGAGGAGCGAGAGAAACCAGAGAGGGAGGAGGGAGAAGAGGGAGATGAAAGCAAGAAGGGGAGGGGGTGGGGATTGAAAAGGACAGGTTTTCCAACTTTCCCTGCAGCAGCTAAGTGACCCCAATGGTTCAGGCTTTGCACTTTCTAAGGAGATTAATTAAAATAACATTGCAAACCATACATATCAGCTACATTCGACATTCCTTTTTGAATTTCACTTCCTCTCATCTTCAACCACGTCTTGTTCTCATTGCTGACAGAGATAATGCAGGAGAGTCAATCTCACATTCCTATGACCTTCATCTAAATGCTAGGCCCAGTCTCTGGCATCAAAGAAGGCACGGCTAAAGGTACCTGCATAAACTACAAGCTGGGACACCGCTGAGTTGTAAAGGTACGATAATTGTGGGCACCTTAGTGACGAGCTGAAAGCTGACTAGTTGGTGYGCTTCATTTACTCCCCCTCCATGTGTCTACAGTTCAGTGTAGGGCATCAATGATATTCAAATCTCATGCAGACAGCAGCCAACCCTGGGATTTGGCAGCAAGGGCCTCAACTTGAGTTATTTTTAGTCCCCTCTTTCAATGTCTCACTTTATCTTTACCCGACAGGACTTTATTTTGTCAAAAGGCACCAGTAGGAAGTTTGAATTAGGCAGGACAAGAGAAGAGAAAGAGTCCGAGGCAAGTGAGAGAAGACGCGTCCTCCAAAGACTCCCATCAGAAGAGATCAGATCAAGCTATTAGCCTACMCTGCCCCTGAAGCTGACAGGCTGACAGTCTGTCCCATCTGGGCGTCTGGCGCTGTYGGGGAGGGGGCCTGGGGGGTCCTGAGGTCACTATAACCAGCTGCACCGCCAACCCTGGGGACGTCTGACACCAACAACGTGACAACAACAGTTTTCATATTCACCATACAGTGAATCTCCCTCCCTTTATCACATCTTCCTAGCTGCTCTGCTCAGCTCTGTGTTGCTGTCTGGTGTAAATTTGTTAACAAGAAGGTCAGAGGAACAGCAGGGTGTTGACTGACCAGCACCCCAATGCCCTGAGTCCACAGACCCCCTGGACATTAACACCAATAAGACAGTGAAAGCATTAAGTCAGATTTGAGCAGCTATGCTCTTTTATCCACTCAGTAGAGCATGAAGTATGTGTATGTGGYGGTACAAAGTCAAAACTTCTAAAGAGCTACTTAAACGACATTAWTATTTTGATATTAATAAGTTAAGAACCATGACAAAAACAAAACTTAGTTTTTGTAACCAAAGATGATTTTGTCAAACTATAAATGCTGCAACAAAGCGGCAGATGAAGGGCATGGATGAGAGATACAACAACAATCTACCAAGGAGAAAACTACAGAACAGAAGGGGGGGGGGGGGGGGGGGGGGGGGGCTGGAGGACAGCTGTAAAGGACAGACGCTCTCTCCTCACTGCAGAGTGATGGAGACACATCCTCGAGTAAAGTCAGAGGAACAATTTATTCAGAAACTTAAAGCAACTTAACTTGGCAGACTGTTTCTCTTTGCGTGCGTTTTCGGAGGACAGACTTACCCCCATGCCCTTCATGGTGTACGGTCTGGCCTGCTGAAGTACAGCAGAGTAGATGGAAACAGATAGCCCTGCTCAAGTCTCCTTGAGAGCAGCAGCAGCGAGCACAGAGGTTGACAGAAAACTCTCCCATGCCCCCTTCATTTCCTCCCAGCCTCCTGATCGTATCAACAGACAAAAGCCACTCTGGCTCCACTGGAGAGCTTTACACAAAAAAATAAAAAATAAAAAAGCTCTAAACCCGGACACAGAGTCAGGAGCAGGCACCTCTCTTCTCCTCCCCCTTTCTTTCTCCCAACCTCCTTTCACACRTTGCCCCGTCTCCTTCAGCAGTTCCCAAGGTCCTCCTAAACATCGCTACCATTTCTCCTCGTACCAAGTCCCCTCAACTTGCTGACCAGCTCTCTTTCTCTCTTTGTACTCCCTGACACCCGCCCCCTGACTTTGGCCACTGTCCAAGTGTTTGCCTTTGAGCTGACCCCTGACTGGTTCCAGAGAAGAGGGTGAGAAGAAACAGAAAGGCAACACAGCAGCAGGCAAACAGTACAGCGGCAMTCCTGACACAGAGACAAAAATCTCTAGCCTGCTTCCCCTTTAACATTCAAGTATAATCAATCAAGCATGCTACATGATACTCAAACCCCGCCTCAAACTCAACTCCCACCTCATTCTAACAGACGCAACCAATGTGAGGACAGGGTGCTTACAGGCTATTGGACACYACGCACACTCGTCAGCTCTGACTCCTCCACTTTCCTCCACCCAACCCCCTCACTGACAGCCAACTTCCTGCTCTAAGTTACCTTGAGCTGCAGGATAGGGGTCAGGGAAAAGAAAAGAGGAAGAGAGATGAGCGTCGTTTTTTTTCCCCTTCTCCCAAAAAAAAAAGAGCAAATAAAGTTGTAAAAAAAAGTGCAAGAGAGTGCGCTCACTGTGGCTTGCCCTGGCATTGTTCGTCCTCAAGTAGACTCCGTCTGAACTGCTGCTGGTCGGATGAGGAAGCCTCCACGAGCTGCTCTCTGACAACTGCTTTCTGCTTATTTACAATGTCAAACTAAATGTCTCCCTCTGCCCCGCCCCCGCCCGGCTGCTACACGCTGACAGGACGGTGACGCAGGCAGGCAGGGCTGCCCTCATTGGCTGAGGGAAGTGTCAGAACTGATGCCGCATGTTGCATCCACATGATTTAAAGTACAAAAACCATACAGCTAGCCTCCTTGTCTCATGCGTGTACACAGCCTCGCATGCACATCTACACAAATGCACATTTTGTCCTTGCTCACATTTGCAGGTACATACTGCAACAKTTTAGCCTCTAAGCAGCTCATTTGTTGAAATGACATGATGACAATATTTTAACAAAGAGACTAAGCATTTATTTGTCAGGAATTTAAAAAAAAAAGAAGCTAAATAAATGTCAAACGTCTGACACAGGAACATTTTTCTGCAACTTACAACCAGCACAATATCACTGAAAATTTTAACATTAATCTGAAAAAGATCATTTTAAGATTTTAAACACAATGAAATCAACTGACTAGACAGCATTTGTTCAAGGTTGGGGGGAGGAGGAAAAGGTTGAATCCGATTCTTGTTCTATTTGTGGTTAAACAAGGCTTAAGAGTTAAGGGAAAAAAGCCTGTAAACAAAGACTTTGTTGTCTTGACCCTTAAAAAAACTAAGCTCACAGCAACTTCCACAATTATAACGTCATCAAAACCCACATCAGCAATGTCACTGACAGTGTCCTTTTTGTTCGCTGGTGCATACTTTCTACGCAGAAACCTTTGCTTTGGAACACCAATACCAGACGCCGCAGCTCATTTGTACATTTTAGCACAACCTTCATCAGTTTTTAACAAAGCCATTCATTAGAAAACATACAGATCAGGCAATAAAGGGTTAAGAAGCAACTTATTGACCCTAAAGCTTAATGTTTCATATGACTGCAAATCTCTACAGTGAACAGGGCGCGCTTTAGAGAAAGGGAAAAAGGGCAAACCTGCCCCATCAATGAAAAACCCAGGGGGGGGAGGGGAACCGGAAGGATGGAGAAGGACAGAGAGGAGAGTTGTTAGGGGATGGGAGGGGTAGAACATGTGAAGGGAGGTTGAGAGAACATGACAGAAACTCAAGAGAAACAAAGCTAAATGTTCTCTTTTGTATTTGTGAAAGGAACACGAGGACAAGAGAAGGTACTACAGGTGTGGGGCTGCACAAAGATTAATCGTTATCATGGCTAGTAGGCCTGAGCATTTTTTGGCTAAAGACGAAGCTTGCTACCCAAAAAAAAAAAAAAGGCCTCAGTAATGACACCTGGCAAGGTCACCGTATAAATGAAGCATTCCCATGACCTACGCAGCCCGTAGCAGGGACGTGTTTGCTCTCAATGACACTGTTTAGAGATAAACATGCAGCATCAACCAGACGTTAGGTTTTATAAACACACAGCACCCTCAGGGTGGCCAAGCTAAGCCATGCGTTTACCTACGTACATGTAAACACGTAACCATCTGCAAAACTCAAATGATTTGCACCAAAGTTGCTTAAATTAACATCTGATCAAGAGTTCAGACATTTTGGAGTTAAAGGAACCGTTAGATTAAGCAAATAAAGAAATAACTAACCTGATTTGGAGAGAAAAATAAACTAAAAAAAAAGGTGAGGCTGCAACAGTGAATCGATCAAACATTTAGATTTCGCTTAAAGCAAAAAATGAATGTAGTCTGGAGTTTTAATTGAAGAAGACAAATTACAGCAACAAAACACTGTATTAAAAGTTACATTTCAGAAAAGACAAGAGAAAAACATGGACAACAATCAAACATACAAGAAAACAGCACAAGTTAATCAGTAACCAAAGATTAATTATTTTAGGAATTAAAAATAAGTCAAGGACAACCTATTTTGCTGTTTATAAACAAAACCTTACATTTTTTTTAAATCCTCATTGTTGATTTTCTGAATTTTTATTCATTTTTTAAATATATTTTCTTCTGCATGGCTGTTCAGTTTTATGAATGTTTGGTTTTGGAAACTTCACCATCTGGATCTATTATTTGAAGAAGAGATTATAATCATCTGAAAGCAACTCATTTTAACTGGGTAAATTATGTTCTATTTACAAATAATTTTGTAATGTTTTGACACAAAACAGAAATTTTATATTTTATAAATAACCATGAAAATTTGTCACAAAACTTGGGAAAATGCGACTTATTTACAAACCTGACTTTTAATTTAGTAATACAGCTGCCACAGTGAATTGAGAGTAACTATAAGCTTTAAATTCTTTTACTTTAACGAAATTGCTGATATGCAAAGTAAATCTATTTCATTAAAACAGCTGTCAGGACAAACTGGACTGAAAGCAATGGTAGATTTTGTGCTAGCACACGAAACCATTATGTTTTTCTCTTGACAATGCGGATACACAAAAGGCATTTAAAGCTCAATTTGTAGTTGTTGCGGCGAAAGACAAAGAACTGCAGCCAAGGCTGGTCACTGATGATTGTGACTTTGTAAAGTTAATGTTAGCTGTGTTGCACAGTACACATGATAATCCGCCGAGTGTGTGCTATTTCATCACTAATTACCGAGTCCTGCCATCATATGAAAGTTTGCAAAGCTAGGAAGAAACAGTCTAACCAATAAAGACAACGTTTGGATCTGTCCTTCAGACCAATCAAACCTCGGACTAGATTCCACCAATCAAGGTTTTTAAGGCTAAGTTCGTTCTGCAACTGACGCCATTCGGGATCCATTAGAAATAGCCGCTACGTTTTACCATAACGCTAATGAGAGCCAACATGGCGGACGCACCGCGCCAGTTTCCTGACCGCCCGGGATCCTTCCAGCGGGCCACCAATAAGCGCCTCAGAGAGYGGGGAGGGAAATGGCGCCTATGTTCATCTTCCGAAACAATCGTCGATTGGTCAAGAACAGCAAATGAAAAGAAGCCGAGTAATTGCCCCCACTTCCACCCACAACGGAGGACGTTCATATTAWCATTATACACGCATAATACTTTTAGTTTTTTACTCACTTTCTTTTTCGGGTTCGAACTGAAGTCCGGCTCAACGTATTATTTATTTTATTTAGCAACCAAAGGGAACAAGATGGCTGCTTAACTCGAACCGGAAAGAGATTAACGCAATGACGTATTTCAAGTTACGTTTTTCCAGAGGACCGGCTTCAGGACTACAATCATTTATTAAATCATATAATAAACCAAATATTTCAAGTAAATGAATAACAATGGACAGGAATGAAAAAGCAGCCTTAATTTTCATCATATTTAACAATTCTCGAAATTAATTGCATATATTAAATTATATATAATCAAATAAAATGAAGGC